GACCTGGAGGTGGTGTTTGAAAGTGGATGAACATTAGCCAGGTATGCCCACATGGCCAAGGAGGCCAATGGCATCCTGGCCTGTGTCAAGAATAGCGCAGCAGCAGGACCAGGGCAGTGATAGCCTCTGTACTCGGCACTGGTGAGGCCACACTTCGAGTCCTGTGTTTAATTTTGGGTCCCTCACAAGGACAAAGACACTGAGGGGCCAGAGCAAGTCCAGAGAACAGCAACAGCTGGGGATGGATCTGGAATACAGGTCTGATGAGGAGGGGCTGAGGGTGTTTAACCTGGAGAAAAGGAGGCTCGAGGGGACCTTATCACTCTCTACAAGTGCCTGAAGGGAGGATGTAGAAAGGTGAGTCAACCTCTTCTCCCAGGGAACAAGGGACAGAATGAGAAGAAAGGGCCTCCATCTGTGCTGGGGCAGGTTCAGGTTGGATATCAGGAAGAATTGCCACTGAGAGGGTGGTTAAGCATTGGAACTGGCTGCTCAGGGAAGTGGTGGATTCATCATCCTTGGAAGTGCTCAAGAAACAAATGGATGTGGCAATTTTTGCTAAGGTTTAGTTGAAATGATGGTCTTCAATCAAAGGTTTAACTCAATGATCTTGGAGGTCTTTTCCAACCTTAATGATTCTATGATTCTGTGATTAATTATAAAATAATATTTCACTAATGTAGATAGTTTATGCAATATTAACTGCTGAACTGGATGGAAAATAGGGCAGGCGATAGCTGTCTAGCAAAGTACACAGACAACTAACCAAAATGTCAAACCAACAACTGGGATTAGTGGAGTCCTTTCTGACCTCTTCCAGAAACTTGACAGGTCCTTGGGAATGGAGCCACTGTTTTGTGAAGAATGCAAACACCACTGAGCTTGCATAGATGGGTTTATCCCATACAGGCTAAACCCTACGCACTTCAGTTGTGTTGAGCTGTACATACAGCCACTTCTCTACAGCTGCCCCATCTTGGGAAGGGAGCAGTGTASCAGCTTCCAAAGGTCCTTGCATCTGGTTAGTAAATTCTCTTGAGAAAGCTTATTGGGTTGTATGCAATGCCAGGCATTGAGTGCTTCCCAAGCTGGGGTGCTTCTTGACRTGAGCTGGTGACATGAAGCTAGGGTGGGGATCTGCTGACACTGCCCTGGTACTTCTCATTTGAAGGTTAGTCCTGCATCCCTGCACTGATTCACGAGCAGTTCCCTTCAGAAAGGCTGCAATTAATTACTTCACTAAAGCCCATTGACATGCTCATATAAAAAGCAATACACAGTGGCTACAAGTAACAGAATGATTAATAGCACTKTCTGTGTTTCAAACAGCAGGACATTAGCTGCCAGCTACTATGACAGAAATACAGACTTTCTTCAATTTAGGATTCAGCCTTTTAGATTCAATCACATTAAAAAGTTTAAAAAACAAAAATGTATGAAGTTGCAAATGGATTCATTAGCTCAGCTGTAATGTCAGCAGAGGTTCTCCTTTTTTAATAAAACACATGAGTGCAGAGAGTATCACTTGATTCCTGCTGTGGAATTGCTAAGCTCAGGACTAGTCTRGTCCTGCTGCAATAGCAGCAGCGTTGATGAAGTGTCCAGCATGCTACATCCTGTTCACAGGTTCCAAATGTCATCAAAAGGCACATATATCACAAATCACAGAATCATTTAGGCTGGAAAAGACCTCTGAGATCATCGAGTCCAACCTGTGGCCAAACACCACCTCATCACCCAGACCCTGGCACTGAGTGCCACATCCAGTCGTAAAYACCTCAGGGACAATAACTTCAGCACYTCCTTGGGCAGYCCATTCCAGTGTTTAACCAACCCTTCTGTGAAGAAATCCTTTCTGATGTCCAACCTGAATCTCCCCAGCACAGCCTGAGGATGACCCCCACCTTGCTACAACCTCCTCTCAGGCAGCTGTAAAGAATAAGAAGATCTAAAGTATGTTTTTAAASTACAATAAATGTGCAATAGTATTTTTTTAATCCTCTCCTTACTCTACAGGAGGTTCACCACCAGTCAATCTCCTCCTGTGTTTCCAAGGCACAGAGGTTACTATCTCACTTCCCTCACCTGCACTGAGAGAGGGTTAAAGTCCCTGACTAAGCAAAAGATACTGARTGGTCTTTTCACTGAAGTACATAATAAGCACATGCTTAACATCAGGCATGCTTTACAAATCCTATCAGCTTTGCTAAGCACAAATGGATATAAATAAATGCTTATATGCTTTTCTGAAATAAGCCTGAAATGAAGACAGCACATAGGATTCTCTGATTCTACCCAGAGCTGACCAGCAGCTCTGTGTGTCAGCATGACACATACAGGTAACAAAACTCCACATGCAATCCCATAATGACCCAGGCTCCCTGGCYACATAAGAGTTCATTGAAGGTTTCTGTGCTTGCTTTCCTAAGAAAAAAAGAAATACTATAATTTTCCCAGGACTTGRTTTTTGCTCCAAGTCATAATAAAGGAGCTGTTGACCAATTTTTCATGGTGCAATTCACTGCATAAAACCAGGACTCTCCACTTTTAGCTAAACAAACTTCCATTAATTTATTGATGCTATTAGTATGGTATCTACCATTTTTGCTTCTCAGTCCCTTCATGGTTTCAACGTGATATTAAACTGCCCTTTAATCCTGGCATTAATATGAAACCACTAGAAGGGATATTTTCCTATTTCCTTTTCTATTCTGATTTTTCTGTCACCCCAATGATAATGTGAGTGGGTAGAACCTCGGCTCTAYTCAAAATTCTAATTTATGCTTAAATCATGCAGCAACCCCAAAATAAGCAATGCAAACTGTATTTGAGAGACCACYGCCAGCAGGGAGCAAACAGCAATGAGTTCTGGGAATCATAGCATCTCTCACGCACTATCCCTCTGCTGTTCCAGCCTCTCAAATAGGGAATCTGGGCTCCACCCAAAGAACAGAAAACAGCAAAACAAAAACCTTTTACCACATGTCCCCTAGGACTGTGGAATTGCTGCAATCTACATCTGTATTCAGAATCTCCCTCCAAGCAGTGGGATGGAACAAAAAAATATCCCAGAATATGCAGAATATTAAGAAATGGTATTTTCATCACTGGCTGCTTCATTCTTTAGCCATCAATGGGGAGAGAAAAACAAAAACAACAACAACAAAAAAAAAAATAACAGCAAAGGCAGAAGGAAAAGAATAAGGTGGGAAAGGGGAGAGAGGGAAAAAGAAAACAGGTAGGTAACCCTGGAATTGCACCAAAAGCTGGAATGTTGCCTGTACCCAGGAAAAGCAACATACAGAAGCTGCCTCACAGCATGAGGCAGAAAAAGTGTGCCCACGACAAGTCTGCTTTCATACTGCTGCCAAACTTGGCAGAGRGCTGCATAAAGAGCAAGGTCAGACCCAGAGGCCGAACAGGAAAGCAGATGTGGTCAAGRGCAACCCAGCCTAAGCTACATGTTTCCCCCAACATAACCACAATGAACTYGGGGCAGAGACATCAAACCAGCTCCAGAGGAGGGGATTTCTATGTTTTCTCTCCACAGTCTTCTGTACATACTGAAAAACTATTCTTCCTGTTACCATGGCACTGTTTCATCACTTGTGTCTGAGCATAGTTGTAGATACACAAGAGGAAGACATCAAATCCTAGAGAGGAAGATGAAGAAGGGACAAAAATTCATCACTACACAACMAGAGATAGGACCTCAGGGGAGGATTTTAACAGGTACCACTGCCACCTGGCAGAGATAACCTCACCTGAACTCACACACATCAGTCTTGGGCCTGTTATTAACTGGCAGACRATACACAGTCACACTGCGGATTTACACGGGCAGGTGACTGTTTTCTGGAGTGACCTTCCACTTTCTGACCTTCCACTCCAGTTGTCCAGTTGACATCCAAAAGGGTGAGGAGAGGCAATGGCACTGACAGCCACTCACCCATTCAATCTCGTTTACTTGGTGACAATAACTACAGCTCCAAATGTAAATACCAATTAAACTCTGACCTTTGGCAGGAGAGCAAGGGCACTTGACAGACATGTTCTGTTGCACACCTCTATATATCACCTACACACTATCAACCCAACATTTTTAACATTTCCTTCACAGGATGTACAGATCTGTACACAAAAGAACCATGCAAGCAATCCTAAGGTAAGTAGGGGAAAACTCAGCTTGCTGTCATGGAGCATCTAGGGTTGAAGTGCTACAGCTGGCATGTTACAGGCATGTCAACAGAAGTCCCTGAARGGCCCATTCCACTCTGCTTTTCTCCTCTAGCTGGAATGGGTATTTTTCTGACCCTTACAGTGAGCTGTATCATGGAAGCCAGCACTGAATGCAAACCCTGCAAATAGGAAAGAAACTGATCCTGCTCACCACACTGCTCAARGGAGCTTAACAGAAGCAGAGCCAAGCACACATACCACAGGGAGGGCAGGTCCTGTGAGTGGCTGCACCAGCTCAGACCTGATTAGGATGACTGTGAAACCACACCTCTAACTGGACAAGTGTTATTAGGCACATGAAAAAGTTTCYCAAACTGATACATTCAACACAGTGTTCCTTGACATCCTTACAGGTCAGAAGAGTGGGATGAGGACTGCAAAAATCACAGGATCTGATGTCTTCTGGGTGTATGCTGTCTCAAGTGCTCATTTTGCTGCAAGTTTATTGTTTTATCCCTTAAAATCAAGAGTTCTGACATTCCATAGCCCTGCACTTTCTGCAGTCGTTTACGCCTGTGCAATGTGTGAGCAGTGTGGGTGTAAACATTACTATTCTGGTTTGGTAGCATTTGCCTCCCACTTTGCCTAGGTGTGAATGACTGCACAAGGTGCAAGGCAATGGTGACAGTGCTGCAGGGACTGTTTTGCATAGCTCTTACACCCATAGTAATACGGTGCACAGAGATGGAGAGAGAGCAAGAGAGCAGCAGGAGAGATGCATCAGGTATCTGCTGAAAAAGCAGCCCRACAAGAGGCCTCACCAAGCACAAGCAGCTCCACTGATTCTTCATTCTTGCCCTCCACATCATCTGGTGTGATAATAAGGCAGTAATAGAGCCCACTGTCTCCCCACATCAACTTCCCAATCTGCAGGTCTGCATCTGGAAGGCAAAAAAGAAAAGTCAGGCTTTCCCTCCAACACCAACAGGAAGAATGGAGTGTTGAACACACTGGACACTCCAAATCCCAAATCTATTTAATTTCCTTACTAAGAAGGGGGGGTTATCCAGAATATGACAGTATTCAGGAAAAAACAACAGGATCACGACTTCTAGTTGTGAGTGGGAACACAGATAATGCTGCAGAGGCAGCTCACTCTGCAAATTCCAAGAACAGRAGAAGTCACTAACGTCTCTCTCTGTCCTTCCTGTCACCTAAGGCTGGGGTCCCAACACTATTCATGTCCTGAAAGAAGGGCTTAGAGAGGTGTCTCTCCTCTACAGCAYCTCAGTCATCTGCAAAGAGGTTACACAAAGAAAAAAGAAAACATTCCCTCTCACTGAGGCTGATCGCATGCTCTCTACACCAAGGAGTCTCCAATGCTGGCTAGGTGGTCTCCTGAGCCAGTCAGAAACCTTGCACTTCAGAGTTACAAGGTCTCTCACACAGCCTTCCAGACAAAAATGTTTAAGGACCCTGCCATCCTTCATCTCCACCCAACCTGACTTTGTCCCATGGAAGCCTCTTTCCTTCCCTGTGCCCAAGGCTGTGCGGGTTTAGGTTCATGACTAGTGAAGTTCAGGGCTCAGCAAAYATGAGGTGCAGGATAATCTTGGTATTTCAGAATTAGGAAAACATCAGTGACATTTGCAAGGAAAAAAAATCTATCCTGCAGAAACTGAATTCGTGTCTCTCCTGTTGCCACCCCTTTGCTAAGAAAAATCTATATACAGAGCGATATGCAGAAGTCAGGAATAAAAACTTTCCACTTCATAGAAGGGAAAAAAGGATACTGAATCTTGCAGACCTACATGAGTCAATTGAAGAGAAGTGCCAAAGAAAATTACCTTTGGGTCTAGGGCTRGTTGGCTGAATCCTAAATATCTGACATACAACAGCTCCCTTCCCGCAGCCTTTTCTAAGAGTCAGTTGCACAATTACTGCCAGACTCCAGTATCCCAAATTGCCAAGGGTCCATCCCAGCCCCCACCAAGCATCACTGGGGTACGAGAGTTACCATGGACGATGCTGACATCTCTCTCCTTATAGAAGTCTCCTATGGTGATGGCAGATCCTTGTTTGGACGCCACGACACGGACKGTCCTCCTGCTGTCCACGCAGTCCAGATAGGGATCCCAGTCCAGGTTTCTCTTGCTCATTGTTTGCAAACCAGAAGTCACCATACCCAGAGCTTCTCCCATCCGGTCCTGGCAGTAGGATTTGTACCTCCACTGTACCACAGCTGGTTGGGTRGAAGAAGTAGAGAAATGGCAGCGAAGCAGAGCAGGCTGAAACAACATGGCCACCTTCTTCTTCTCAGGCACAGTGACCTGCAACCCTTCCACCTCAGCTAGAAGACAAAAACATGAGTATCATATGCCTTGGCACTGCTTGAAGAGGGAGCTACTGTATTTTATCACAGCACCATTCTCACCACATACGTAAAATTGTCCATCTGTTTAGGGTGCTAGAGCACAACATTCCTTAATGTATGTAAGCATGGATGTTGGCAGCAGAAATAAGTTTGCTTTTTCATAGCCTACAGCCACAAAGAAAAACACAGCATGATGGGGCTGAAGGCTCAAATGCAGAATCCTCATGCTGTAGAAGCCCTAACATAATGGTGTGATGATTCACGGCTTCTGTGGCAGGTTCAAACATAAGGAAGAATTATTTTAGGATGGCCATGCTCCACTTGTACAGCAGGTYAGCCAAGGGGACAGATCCTGAGTTCATGACAACCCCGCTGAACCTCCTTCCCCATCTCAGTGGCATCATACCTCCCCTTTAAAAGTCAGGTGAACACACAGTGCCTGACCAGCACATTCTGCACCAKTGCCCAGTTAGTGAGGCTTGCTCTGCCAAACTCTAGAGATACACCAAGGAGCGGATCCAAATCACAGAGCTCCTCCCAGGGCTGGCAAATAGCACTGAGAGAAACTGCTCCACGTGGGAGGTGTGGAGAAAAATGGCCCAAACACTCAAGCTTTTCACATTCCCAGGGAGCAGAGGGATCTCAAYACGTAATGTTTATCTAGCAGCTGACAGGAGCTGCAGCCTGGAGCTGGTGTTTTAAGGCCCCAGAGAAGATGCACAGGACTGCTGCCACACCCTTGTGTAGCTGAGGTGAAGTCAGTGAGTAGTGTCAGCAGAGAGCCCTCAGGAGAGTGAGGGCTCCCGTACCCACAGGGATATGGCCAAAACTCCCCCACATGCTCTCCATTGCTTCCCTCCTTGTGCTGCAGGCAGCAATGTCTGGGAGCACTCACACAGCCTGGAGAAAAGGGAGCCAGGTTCAGAATGGAAAACGTTGATGTTACACACACCTTGATGCCCAGAGCAGCGCAGGGGGTAAAAGAGGGCAAGACACAAGGAAACAAAGCAGCAAAGTAAGTTTACACAGMATCTACACAAGGGACTGATGGACTTGGGGAAGCTTAGTGAGGAATGAAAGACTGAAGATRAAGAAAAAACATCTCTTCCTGATGTCAAGAAGCAGTAGAAGAGAAGGGAAAATGCCAAGAAAGAAGAAGACGGAATAAGAAARTAGCAGAGCAAATATAGGAAGCAGAAGGATAAGCAGGATGACAATCACGGAAGCTTGCATTCAGCTGGAAGAAGCTGGAGAAGGTGTCKCAGCCCAGGTCAAAGGTAGTACAAAGAGCTGCAGTCAGGTTGCAGGAGATTCAGAAATTACGTAGAGAGAAGAGGAAATGGAGTCAGCAAAAATAACCCACCCACTCCAGAAAGCAAAGATGAAAAGGAGATGGAAGTTGGCAAAAGAAAGCGAAATGACAGGAGATATCTTTAGAATCGGGAGGAATAAAAGGCATAGACTAAAGCACTGGAGCTTGAAGCAGACAGAAAGCAATAAATGCATCAACTGTGTAACAACAGCAGGCACGAAGAGACAAGGTCAAGCTGGAGACAGCTGCAGACCTGAAAAGCAAAAGCAAGCAGAGATTGCATGATCAGGATTCAGAACCAAAGGAAAGTGAAGAGGCTGGAAAAACAGTGAATATTAAATTCAACAAGTTATCACTGTCTGAACTATAAAGCACAATGAAGTCTATAAATCCCAGCTGAGAGAAAAACACAATACAGACAGAACCTAGGGGAAAGCTCACTTGAGAAAGGCAAGGTGGTCACTGGCACTAAGCAAGAGTCACTGATCTATGCAGGATGTGACCAAGGGGACAATTATTTGAAGGCTTGAAGAATACAAGGCGCTCTGGTGTTTGCACAGAAATGTTGTATTGTGCAAATAAAGAATGCATGACATCATGCRTATTGTGTTTGTGCCATGTGGAAGTTGCACAGGAGGCATTAATTTTGCCAGAAGTGCCTAGACCCAAATCCAAACATCGAAGTGTGGCTGTTCTCCAGAGTACCACTAAACACAGCTGAGGTCTCCCACAGGAGAGGCAGAGGAATGAGACAGCTCCTGCGCTTTTCCAAGGCACAGGCAGAGAGATTATTGAGGAAGTGGCAACTGGGACRTTTCTGCCAGGCTTCATTCACCCAGGGACCAAACACAGGGCCATGTGGCACCAAGGGAACCCTACCACTTGCTTCTCAAGTGGTGATGTCTTATCCCCTCCTCTCCAGAGATTTGTGCTTTCTGGGTTGCATGGGAATGCAAGAAACATGAAGAACACCTTGAAAAACAAAGGGGTCCATGTCAGCCCTGTATTTGCAACTCTGTGGCTGACTCCTCACAGTCCRAGGCCGAAGCCAGCATGTGGCATGAGCTGATCAAGTGACTCATCACGTTACCTCTGCTTCAGGGATAAAACAGTGACACACTGAATATTTAAATCTTTCCCTTGTGAACCAAGTGCACTGCTTAGTAAACACAGTGCTCTCAGCTAACCATGCACCATAGCCCTCCGTCCCTGTTAATGAGATTAATGAGTTTGGCAAGCCAAGGACTGCTTTAATAAATGATTAGCTGAGCTTTAGCGAATTCTCATCTGACTAACTTTCTCCACCCTACCCCCATGTGAATGTCTGTATGAAGAAAAGAAAAGCAGCTTTTGGGAAAACACAGCAATTCTTTTTCTTCCCAAAAGCATTTTGGAGATGTGCAGAAAATGATCTGGCATCTTCTATATCCTATCCCAAGTTCTTTATTAACTTCTAAAGTATTATTTTTGGATTCTTTCCAGGAATAGCATTTTAGAGCAACACAGTGYCTCAGATTGAGAGAGTGGAGCAGAGGAAACTTTAGATCTATTTAAGTCAAATTATATATAATTATATATGGCTGAACTGGGAAATTATACACCTGTTACTTCCTCTGCCAAAAAAGAATTACTGGAATTGATTCATGTAGTGCGTCACTGCTGTAATGGTGTCCATCAAAAATGGACATCCACCAGGATGTCTGACTGCCTAAAGACAAGATGGTGGCTTTACACTGATCAGGTATGTCCAGGTATGGGAATTATAGGAATTCCTCACCTTCAAGAAGAAACTGCTGACCTCAAAATGTAGCATAGCCAAGATAAGAAAAGCCTCGGACATRTCACAGGACAGAATTCTGAGTTGTTAATACAGCAAAGGAAAAAAYAGTGAAATATGTGAACAATTATGAGAAGCTTAGTGGCAGTACCATGGTAGCTCTTTGTCTAGTTTAATACAAGTAGGACTAAAAAGAAACAGAATTGTGTTGTGCCATGTTTTAGCTAATGCAGACAGAGCAAAATTAGCCCTTCAAAATCATCATGGAAATGCAATTCCTGCAATCCAGAGAAGGAACTTGTTCATTGTGAATTTCACAATGTTTGAAGTTTGACATGAAATAGATCCTGAGATCCTCATGACTATGTGACTATTTTGCTTTCCTCCCTTCTTGCTATCCTAAATCCACAGAAAAATATCTGAAAATATTAATCAACTGTATCTTATAAACACAGCTATCCTTACTCTTAGAAAATAAAAAGAATCCAAGGGTTTGTGTATCTGTACATATATATATATACATATATATATATATATATATATATATACACACTCCCAGAGAAAGAGTTTAAAAATAATCACACTTCCGAAATATAATTGTATGGGGTTTGTCTGTTTCAATTGGCAATGTGCATTTTCTCTCCTTTCTCTGATTTCTTTCCTGAACTATCCTCAGATTATGCATTCAAACTATGCAATCAACACTACACACAAGCTATCACTAATACATTTCACTGGTGATTAAAGAAAATTCCAGGAAGTGATTACAGAGGGGATATTTGTAAGGGCGCRTTGGAGCCTTGTGAGCCTGATCTTGGTAAGCGCCTTCCCTGAGAAAGAGGGAGAAGGCAATTGAGAGGTGATAACCGAGGCTCCTGCTTTGCCATTGACCTCCAGAGCAGCCCGTGCCTCCCAGAGGTGAAATGAATCTCACTAAGGTTTAGCTTCACTACACAGCCTTTAGCAATAGAATCACAGAATGGTTTGGTTTGATCTGGAGGAGACCTTTAAGATCATCAASTTAGAACAAAATTGATCGGAAGCACCAATCCCTTGAAACAGTGGCAAAGCCAAATACTGTAGTTCAGTGGAACAGGTCTCTCTCTCCTGGAGCACAAGACTTGAGTCCAGGAGAAGGCAGCACACAGTCTCCCAATCTGTGCATAAATCTCATCTCTTTCTTTGCAATTATTTGGCTCATGCTACTGCTTGTCTGAGGTAGTGCAGTGGATTCTATAAAACCACAAAAAATTGCATCCCCTGTTTTCATGTACCTTTATTGACAGGAGTAGCAGCTGTTCACACAGAAGAATGGAAATCATTCACCAGACTCCTCAGGAAAGCTACKCCTAGACTTTACCTCAGGGCTTTGGCAGAAAAGCGTCCATTCATTGGTAAGAAACAGTGCCTTTAGGGTAGTTTATACCACTTCCCAAGCAAACTGTTGGGCGAAAGGATCTTYGCATTCTGCACCTTAGATACCATGCATCATTTCAGAACATTCTCTCCCCCACTGCTCAATACAGGCACACCATCCACACTTCCAAATGTGGATCAAGCCTGAATCAGGAAGTACAAGATACGGGCTTTGAGACCAGAAAGTCAGAGATGATAAAGAGATGTGTAAACAGATGAATGAAGAGCCAGTGGGATCACTGAGATTGTATTGTACAGGTTCTTGCCCACTCATGTGGGACTAAATCCAATCCATGCAATTTATCAGCAAAAGCCATCACCATCAGATTGTGTCRAGTGCCTTAAGGAAAATTAATTGGATGTCTTGGTCTGGTTCCTATCAGACTTGTGTGCTTAGCAGTGTGACTACTAATTGCCAACTTTTTTTTGGAAGCAAGTAACCAACGCGTGAACAGGTCAGCTGCAGCTGAGGTGAAAGCACGGCTCTATTTTCCACAGCTCCACATCAAAACCAAGAAATTCTGCTAACTGCTTAACCTGGAAAGGGGAAAACCCAAATCAGCTGCAGAAAAGCGTGGCCTTGCACACCCAGCACTCACAGCAAAGAACCTCAACACAAAAACACTCCATACAGGACAGCCCAGGCTGTGCACAGTGACTGCAGAAGACACTGGACTGYTCCTTGCTCTACCCCATTCTCTGTGGTGCTCTACCCAGGTATTCTCTGCTCCTCACCTCATTCTCTCTTCACCAGCTTCCCTGTGCTYATTACATTCCCTTAGGATAGATAACCCCTTTCACACATTCACAAAAGCCACCCTGGATGCCCTCAGGTGAATTATTTCTGCTCTGGCCAGCCAGATCAAACCCACACTGCCTCACTGGTGTCTGAAAGCCGCTACAGTTGTCAGATGCCTCCTGATTTAGACTTAGTTCARCACCCCAAAATCATTCCCAGAATTATCACTCAGCAATTGGTCACCATCAGAAGCCTGAGAACAAAGCAAAAGAAATGYGAAGCGTCTCTCCAAGCCCTGTAACACCAAGCCATAACACCTGTCCTTGGGATGGCATTAGGATTTCAGTCTGCCAGTCTCACTCAAGGTGACCTCACAGGAACAAAGGTAAGAAAAACGTGATTTCTTCCCACTTTCGCTACACTTATGCTCTGTGAAGCCAGGCAAGCGGWTTCAGATGAACACTTTAAATCAAAACAAGTAAAAGAGTCCATGTAATTCCTTGTCTTCCCATGAAGTGTGCTCATCTGGCCAAAAACAGCAAAGAACAACAGTGGTCCAGCATGCCCCCTCTGCCTGCCCTCCTGAACTGTGGCTGGGAAAGAACAGGTACAGCAACAGTGYACAGGGACTGAGCACTAAATTACTGGTGAAAAAGTACTTATCAGGAAGAAAAGATCCCATTTTAACGTGGACAGTCTTCTAACTATATTTTTTTCCAARTTTTGCCCATGTTGTGAGGCAGAAAAAAATTGCTCTGCTTGTTCCGTATGTAAAACTAAAGTTCAGTCTCCAATGCAGCACTTTTCTCCAGTTTTAAATGCATTAGAAATACAGCATTAATAAGAAAATGACAAACACGAGGGGAGGACTCATTCCAGAATCAAACTGCACTTGGTAATTTACAAGAAATGGCTTTACACCGGCATTAGCGATACTTGGCAAATTGTATCTTCTTTTTATAGAATGAGAACACAGTCCCACACATATCTTAACCCGTGTGACCTCCCAGGAAGGAATAAAGAAGGACCTGCTCTTCATCCATTTGCTGTTGTTATTAAAACACTCACTCTAGGCACGTGGGAGAGCAGGACAGGAAGGGAAGAAGCCAAACCAAATCCATTGTACCTCACACAGGATTTTTTGAAAGTGCRTATGCATTCACAATGTGCAAAACCAAACAAAAGATAAATGCGAGAGCCAAAAATTAAAGACAAACAAASGACAGAGAGGAATTACTGCTGGGAGGAAAGGGACTTAAAGCGCTGATTAGAAATTTCTCGGCCCACCTCGAGGAGGGAGAAGGGCAGAGAAGGGAAGGAGAGCCTTCTCTTTCCTGCTCCCTTTTGTCTCCCTGCTCCCTCCCCATCTTGCACTCTGTCTCCTAGCCCCTCCACCTCCCAACCCCCACTTCTCTTTCCCAGGGCGGAGTGTACCACTCTGGCTGGATTAGGGCTCCTTACCTTGATGCAGACCTTTCATTCCTTCGCACAGCCAATGGGGAGAGGAAAATCTTGAATCCACGTTTGCTAGCTCCCCCCTCCCCTTGCTTTTCTGTGCATTACATACACTCACACACCTTTGCTTATTTGCTTTCTCTCAGCCGTGAAAAAGGACATCAGMGCCTGATTTATGGCTGGGCAGCAGCAGCTGGAGGGGAGCAGGCGAGCACTGACTGCCTCCATCCCTCAGCACACAGCTATGGATAGATAACCTGTTGCCTGCCGGAAGCCTGTGCCTGCCAGCTCTCCACAGCACYAGCAGCACGCAGTCCTGTCTCAGAATCACAGGGCTAGAGGAAACTGGAAGGTCTTCCCACTGCTGCGGTACCTCTCTCTCTGCATTGACCCTGCATGCTCCAAACGGTSCTCGCTGCCAAGAATCGTGAACCTCCCTCAGTGGAGGGAGAAAAGTGTCAACAGCCCCGTCTTTCAGCTTGATAAAAAAGTCCTGATTAGCCTGACACGTCCAGATAAAGAAGCTCTTTAAAAAGAGGGAGGAATGTAATGTCATATTTAGCTACACACTGTAGTCCTTTGCTGATCCTTGGATGCTATTTATCAGTACACTGCTATGGCWAGCAGGAAAGGATGGTGGCTGAGGGTGCGCAGGCACTCCAGACCAGCTCAGTGAAGTGGGATACATTTGGAAGCAGCCAAACGGCAGGGCAGGAGGAAGGGAAGATGAGCTGGAAGCTGCTGAAGCCCCAGATGAGGCCGYGAAACCCTGGAAGGGAGCAGTAGGCAGGCACCGGTGTTGAAGATGACTCAGAGTGAAAATGCAAGGAAAGGGGTGGGTGGGTAGTGGGAGAGAGGTGTTATGACTAAAACCCGAATTTACTGCTTGTGAATTCTAAATCTGAATAGGAAGAGGGAAGAGGCTGAGGTCTTTTTTGTGGGATACATTGGTGACAGTGGGAAATACATGCCACTTAACCTAAGTGTGTCTGTTTCTTCTTTCAGCCTGTAACCAGGCTGCCTGGCTAAGTCATCCTACTGCAGCTTTTCCTATAGCCTGCTGCTCCTGCTTGTGCCTGGCCGCTGCACCGGCTCACAGGAGGCAGATCATGCCCCTGACCTGACAGGGCTTTCTCCCCGGTTCCCGGCTGCCCTGCCGCTCTCATCCTGCTGTAATCCCTACCCTCTCCTTTCCTCGCTGCCCATCTCTCARACCCTGTCCCCCCTGCCCTCTCCCCATCGCTGAGCCTTCTCTGTTCGCCTCTCCGGCTCCCCTCCCCCGGCCCTCGGGGTGGCTTGCCCGACCTCTTCGGGAGCCGGCGGTCGGCGAGGTGGGCTGGGGGGACAATCCCGTCCTGAGCTCACAAAGGCCTGGGCACAACTGCACCGTCACGGGGAAGGAGCCCCTGGAAGCCGGGGCAGAGGCAGGGCAGCCTCCTCTCACACCTCTGTTGAGATGGCATGTGCGGTCAGGACACCGGGTAAAGGAGAAGTTCCTGCAATTGCTCGGCACGGCACGGGCGGGAGGAGGGAGCCGGGGTTTGTGGGCATCCCTCCCGCGCCGCCGCGGCCAAGGACTCTCCAGCCCCCCCGGGCCGGCTCCCCCCCTTCCCCGACAAGGGCGCGCWGCTCTCCCCCGCGGCCAGCGTGGCCCAAATGCCCCCCGGACCCCGCGGAAAGAAGCCCCGGGGTCCCCTCGGACCTGCCCCGCGCCCCCGGCTGGGCAGGAGGCGCCGGCTGCCCCCCCCCGCCGTCCCCAGCCCTCTCCTCGAAGTCTCCGCAAACTGCACGGCGGGACGCCCCCGAGCAGCGCCCGGCCCCACGCCGGCTCCCCCCGCATCTCCCCAAAACCTCCCAGTTTTCGCCCTCAGCAAAGCCGGGAAGCCCGGCGGGCTGGGCACCGCACAGGGACGTCGGGACCGCCGGGACGGCCGTGCCTCCCTCCCCCCCCCCGCGGCCCTACCTGCGAGCCACAGGAGGACGATCCATCCCAGGACGTGCCCATCCATCTTCCCAGTGTCCAGGCGGCGCGGGG